GGGGTTGAGCCACCGCAGCCGCGGCCGCCTAACCTCTCCGACCATATGAAGAAGGAGTACCTCCGTGCAGACGCTGTCGCATTGCGTTTCGAGCGAATCCTGACTCAATTGACGGCCTTAACCAGACAATCCCAGCAACGGTACGAGGACAACGCCAACGCCCGTAGGGACGAAGCACCAACATTCCGCCCAGGTGACCAAGTCATGGTCAGCCTTGAACACATGGCAACGAACCGGCCGAAGAAGAAATGGGACGACAAATGGGACGGACCGTTCCCTGTGCTGAAGGTGTATAAGGGCGCCGTCGTCGTGGACCTCCCGGACAACATCAAGGTCGATAAGAGCTTCCATACCTCTCAAAGTTCGCTTATACGAGGCCCCCTCCATTCAAGGACAAGACGAGCTCAACGCGGCGGAGCGGCGTAACGTCAAAGGAAGGATTGCTAAACGGGACGACGATGGGATTATCCAAGACGAGTGGCAATTCGAGAAGATCCTAGACGTACACGACGAGGACAAGGAGACATCCGGACTTACCTACCTTGTTAAATGGAAGCACTACGATGAGCCTACATGGCAACCCGAGCAAGACTTGAAAGGCTGCAAGGACGTTCTGAAACTCTTCCATGACAAATACCCAGAGAAGCCCGGGCCGCCTAATTGGGTAAAGGACAAGCGACCCCGCGGAAGGCCTAGGAAGAAGGTACATTTTGATGTTTAATATATTAGGATAGTGGTTTGGGGACCAAACCGTCTTTGAGAGGGGGAGTACTGTCACGGCACCAAGCCTGACCTGCTTGGGTCACGTGGGCAGCACGTGCCCACGCGACCTGGACCCACACTAGCAGCAGGATCTCCTCTCCGTTAGCGTCCCCTTGCGAGAGCTTCCTCTCTCCTCATCGCACAACTCAGTCATTAGCCAGAACCTGACCCTGTCCCGCGACTCCCCTGACCTCGCCCCGTGACAGAAGAAGTGTCTTTTTTTTATAAAAAACGCCCCCCCCCGCAAAATTTATTTTCCGGAAGGTGAGAGGAGAACAAACTCGCCAAAACTCCTAGAACGCGCGTGGTGGCCCCCGCGGGAGGCTTTTTTTCCGACAAATATATATACCGGGGAAACAGGCCGCGGACCCTGAACAGAAAACTCCCTCCCAGCGGCTCTCTCAGAGTAACTAGGTCCGAGAAGCTCAGCCTGGGAAGGCGCCCGTCACCGAGCACTCTGAG